GTAATTTCTTTGCTGCACGTCGCCAGTCCTAAGCTTGAGCGGTTGATGTATTGTTTTGGTGGTGAACTGGTAAATAAATCTGAAGATTCACTGATCGGATGTGGCGTTGTGCATAGTCGGTTGTTTATACATTTTTTGGCAAAATAGCCGTTTTGCAAAAATTGCGTCATAGTGTTGATCAAGACCGATTTTATTTGATAGTTGCCGCAAGTTTCTGAGTTTTACCGATCAGATAACACGCCTTTCGTTAGCGATGCTGACCTCTTAAACATGGCGCACGCCATTGCTAGATATCTGCTTCCGAGTTCGGTTTCCTGGTCAGACAGTACATTTCCCAGCTCACAACTTCGCCGAACAGCAATGCCTTTTGTTTTCTCCTGACCTTATTGGTTTCGATGGTGACGCGTTACTTTCTATTGACGAATAATAACACTCCGTATCGTACGCAGTTTTTCTATGATGCCAATTCCCCGAAAACGCTTCTGACTTTCTGGCCGCGTTTGCTTCAGTTTTGTTAATTTGCACATCCATTGTGTAGGTTTTGGGAGAAAACTCTCAGGTTTTCTTCCTTGTGGCCGAGGAAAATTCTGAATTTATACTGAGGCACCTGTGTGTTGTCTAGATCCTGCACTAGACTATTACACGATGCAACGCGACGTAAACAACCTGGCGTATGACAGGCATTTTTCTCAAATCCCAGTGATTATTCCTAATTAAACCTTTAATGCATTCACTCACATTCGCAAAAATCAACACCAGATCACACCTTTTTCAGCCCTGTAGGATCCCTCAGACACTCATTCACCGGAAAATCACACCAACAGGAAACACAAGCCGCACAAACTCAATAGTAAAAGCAGCCAACCAGTCGAAAATTTAACCGACAACTTCATATTCCAAACTCCAAAATTCTGTACCGCTTGTACTACCTCAACAAAACCGAGGAGCACATCGATATTTGAAGTGCCAAAGTACCGAAAGTACTTCAACTAGTCCGTGTTTTACATCGAAAGGATCTTCAACCGGATCGAAAATATCTGTAAACTTATAACGGCTTTGTTATATCACTCCAGATTTTCGGTTTATCCGGCCAATCCAAATTCGCGCTGCCCATAGGATTGTCCGCCGGAGTCTGACCACCTCAAACGGGGCGCCAGTTACGGGACTCTCCAGAACCTGAAGTAGGATATGGCAGTCATACTCAGCTTGATAGCACACAAGCAAATGTCAGCTGTTATTTTGTTTGCTTCAGGAAATTAAATATCCATAGAGTGGCCTGAAGGTACTGTGCGAGGCTCATGCCTAACACTGACGTACATGGAGCTGCCAGTTTCGTCTTAGATGGACTGCACCACCCCAAGCTCACTGCATCATTCTGACAACACAACTTCTTCCCTATTGTCCTCCGAAGCGATCATATACAGACAAAATGTAGACCTCCCATTATTTATCGAATGTCAGCAGTCGCGGTTAGCACCCAGTGAGTGTTTTCGCCATGCACCATACGCGTCTAGAAGCTAGAAGAAGTGACTCTGTGACTGGCGACCCTGACGAAAAAGGTTCTGTCAACTACGGTTGTCGGAAGCTGTTGCCAAACCATTTATCTATTATCTGTTGTCTCTGTTCACGTTAACTTATTATATACAGAACGGGGACACTGTTCGGATCCTTTTGCTAAGATGAAAACCGCTGCTATGTGGACGTCGGCCTCAGCTAGTTCAACGGCTAATCTCTGTTAACCACCTCGGTTTCTGAGTCCTGACCTTACCCAAATAGGCACCTACCCTGGCCCAATTTGTACTTGTATTCTAGGTCAGCCAAAACGATCCCTCTTTTTCTGGGTTCAATTAATTTTCTCTCACCCCCTTTTAGATTTTCTATCGGACACCGTTTTATCTGATGAGTCCTGGCGCTCACCGGTAGATATTTCTTTCATCCTACACCGTCCCAATCCTTCTCTCCCGAAGCTTTGTAGTTCGGCTTTGGTTGCTGCAGATGCCCGGTACAACCGTTATTCGTTCAATCTGGCTGTTCTGCGGCCTACACCCGCATGGTCTATACCAGCACCGAATAAAAATCACCCATGACTCTGCATTGGCCTAAATCTACCCGCATCAATCTTTCCGTCTAACCAACGTCCAGCGGCCACGGAAATGCGTATCTCCCCTCCGATTGCGACAATCTTCACGACGGTTACGGAGCCGTCCAGAACCTAAAGTGTCAGTGTAGTGCTATACCCAGCATGATGGCACCGCAGTAACTACTTTTCTTCGGAATCTCAACCACATCCTCTGCCACACTCGGGCTTGTAATCGCAACTACAAATATATTTTTCGCCCTGCCCCAACCGCCTTTGGGACGATTCTATTCTTACTCGATGGACCTTTAGTTCGGATTTAACCAACCTGGCTTCTTGCTGCGATTTCGGATGTCTCTTCCACAAGTTCAATTTCATTTGCGGTGTTCATTTGGCTTAATTCATTGGCACTATCTCCCCATCAAAACATTCCTTTACACCTAACTACCCAACAACAGCGACACCAGAGTCTACTTAGTTTCCATGTAAACGATATTTTCGAGAAAAAACTTGTTATTTACATGCACTTTGAATTCTTTAATCTCCACCTCCACTTTAGTCATTGTGGCCCTGGCCGTTTTCTCAACCGCCCAAGGTCACTCGTGGCCGGCAACGGTTATCAGTCTTAGTGCACGTCAGCTGGCTTCATCATTGAACTAGTCGTACCTCATGCCTATTGTCTTAATCTTATTCGGTCCCAACAATCGTGATGACTTTTCACGTAATAATCATGCCTCGCCGGTTGTACTTCCTCCCATGTTAGTTGTTGCCTGCCATGTTCAGGTTGTAACAATCCAATCACGCCTCAACCGACACATTCCCTACAAGTTTGAAATAATACCAGTGTTCACTATTATTATCCCCCTCTTCTCCTGAATGCACCCTCTTGACGGCCGTTTCATTACTACGACCTAGAACAAACTCTTCACCTGAACTCAGCCGAATTCGGGGGGAGTACGTTCTGGTTTGCTGAACCTTTTGCTCTGGTCTAACCATCTCACTAGGCTTTTAGTGTGTGCCCTCCATATACCCAGTCGTTTTCTGTAGTTCGCGTTTGGCATCAACTCACTCTTCCAAGGAACTTTCACACCCGACTCCGCCCTAACAACGACACTGTGCACTGTAATTGAGAGAGTCCAGCAACCATCTACTGTTGTTGCTAATTCTTCTATTTCACTGTTTCCACTCGGGCTTTCTGTTACCCCCGCTAAAAGCCCAATTATCCATAGCCATCCGACCTCAGCAGTTTATTCCAGTATCAGGTTAAAATGACCGACCAGATCATGGCAAATTCGCTGCTTCGCTAGATCCGTTTCTCCGGTGCCTTATATTTCGCAATTTGCAGTCTTCCTATCGCGTGCAAGGCAGGACACCTCCGGTTTTGCTATTGATCGTTGTTTCTTCGCCGTCATTACACTCGACCCTGCTCCAGCAGCAACACTAGTGAGTCGCTCAAGTTTCACTGCACACTGTGGTTTCCTACCACCATTTGTCCATACTGCGTGTGACCCCATTTCACCATCCCCAGTTACGCTTTTTGTGGCGATACGCCCAACAGCTTACGGCCGTGAGGCCCTAGTGACGGTTTGCGGCTTTAGTTCAAAACGGCCGGCCACGTCTTGGCAGTTCTGCTGCCTCTCCAGATCCATTGTTCTGGCTTCACACTTCCGGCAGTTTGAAGTTTTTTGTCTCGTTATGGACAGGAAGCTTTTTGTTATGCCCTCACTCGTATTGTTTTGCCCGCCACTTTTAACTCCTAACGATCAGATCTTGCGTCATCTTATATGTTCTCCATAGGAGATAAAAAACCCTTGTAAGTTTGGATCCCTACCCATACCACCTCAGGTGTGATGAAGTCTACTTCATTCATGCCCACTGTTTACTTCACCGTCTTTTTTCCAGGAAATTCCCAATAATCACTCTCCCATCGGCCATACTCTTATTCTGACTGTAATACTATGATTTTGCCTGTTGGGAATATTATTATTCCCCAACTTACACGATTCTGGAATCTCAAGCTCATATGTTGAAAATTGATTTTGGCCCTGAACCTGCACGTGGTGTTTATAAGTCATTATTGTACACTAATTAATCGCTTATTTAGAGCGCCCCCTCAATAGCTGTAATCACACCCTCTCTGTCTGTTCGCTACTTGACTAGATCATAGGAAACAACATTCCTCAGCATAAGTTTCAACTGTCATATTTAACCATATTAGCACCCCCACGCCAACTGGGGGCTGGATTTTTACGCAGTCAATCCCCGCATTCTTGTTCACGTTTGTGAACGGACTCAGCCGTGTTTCTTAGTATCTGGAAGGCATCTCAGCTTCGCATGCACCCGCTTAGTAAAGATAATACCGCCACTACTGTCTTCCCCTAAGCGTTTGTTAGACCCGTTTTCCAATCATTAACCCCCTCCTTGTGTCGAAAGAAGCCCCTTGCTGCCTACAGAACTAACATTCAGTCCCGTCACTCTTCAAAGTTGTTTAACAGAACCCTGCGAGTCACCCCAGACTGTTCTGTCATACTAACCGATATTCCTATTCGCGACCCACTCAGCAGCCCTCCTTTGCCCCTAATAGAAGAAACTCGGACTCACAGTAATCTGGCAAATCTTGGAGCCTGTGCGCACAGGATGGAAATTGAACTAGCCTCCTTCCGAAGCACAAAGCCAATTGCTGGAATTCTGTGTCCTAACGCAAGATTTGACCCGTCAAATCTTGAAAAAGTACCAATCCTTGTTGACTAGCCTCCGAGATTTGCCAGCGTTTGGAGTGCTCTCACCAGGTTTTAGTATACAGCATCTGCGATCTTATCCCGATCGAACAAAAACTGTCCCCCTGACGGCATATAACAGGCCTAACACCATCTGCACAGTTTGGCGACTCCGAAAGTCAAAGCCGTCCTTGCCTTGCCCAACATTAATGCAATTCAAGGACAAAATGGATGCCGCACCTACGGGCATCCCAGACACTTCTCTCCTCTCCCCCGAAAAATCCAAACGATGTAATCGCGAGCGAATTCAGGGCAGAAAGTCGGAGAACGACCACGATTTGTACTGTGCGTAATTGTACAAATGCGCGTTTTTGTGGTTCTTCGTATGCAAACAAAAAACAGTTATGCAAATGACAAAATGCGTAAGGCTATATTGAAAGCAAAAGATACAAAACATCACAAACCCTAGGACAGGTCTCAGCAGATCCTAACCAACTCGAGCCGCAGGCCGCATTGATCAGGTAAGCATTCCGTCCAAGTATTTGTGTGAAAGGGTGAGCAAAGTTAGTCAAGGGTATGAGGAAAATAACTGGTGAGTCATCAGGTTAAAGGTGGGGGTTTCGCACGAACGTTGCGATAAAAACTTCGGCCGAAAATCAAAGGCTTCTAAGATTACCAACTAAATTTAGAGGTGGCAGAAACAGGAATAGATGAAATTGGGGTAGGTAGGATTCCGCCCGGCGTGCACAAAATATACTAACACAGTAATTCAAGAGCCAAATGGCGACAGTGAAAGCAGCATCTCCTTATCTGAGTGGGCGACAGTCGGCTGCAGACGCAAAACTAGAGCGATGGTGTAAATGCCCAGCATTACAACGCAGCTTCGGACAACTTGGTAAAGAGCCAAGAAGCTTAACCACGGGAATAGTTGATACAGATGATTACAGAGTGGGTTGGACAAGGATCCATAGCAACTGCTGCGAGGTCCTACGGGAAGGAGTTCATTGTACAAGGAGGTGTTAACTGAACGGTGTAGGAGGGGGAAAGAGAACACGAGCTGGAACTTTGCAGATACTGAGCAAGTCTAGTATAAAAACAGGAAGTTGTCATGTGAACCAGATGGCACTATATTTTGAGAACAAAATGGAAAGTAAGACTGCGAACAACTGGTCGCTGCTTTGCGGCTGTTAGCTCCAAACAAGTATTTTCACACCACTAAAAACAAGAGGCGCTACCAGTAGAAGTGTGTATGAGAGGAAGAGGGAAGCTTCCATACATCAACCCACATGTGGCTCATTTTAAGCGCTCCTGAGTTGAGTGAATGGAGAGTGCTCATGTCTTGGGTGGTTCAAGCATTAGACTTGGTGTAGAGTAAACAAGACTGAAAAAATGGTGCCAGCGGTGCAAGCCGATGGAAGACAAAAGTAGTTTTTTGTTTGCTTTTCGTCTTGTGCGCCAGCAGCAACTCATTCTCCCAAAAGACTTTCGCACCCGACTCCACTCCAACAGCGACACCAGAGAGTCTCTGTATGTCCACCGTACACCATGATTCTAATGATCCTGTTGCCGTTTATTTATATCGCTAATTCGTTCTCTTCATCATCTCAACGAACCTTGCCATTAGCCCAATAGCCCAAGGCCGCAAGGCCTCGTTGTTGGTTTTAACCTTTGGTTCAGGTTGATTGGCCACACTGTGACAGTTCTGCTGCTTCAGAAGATCCGTTGTCCTGGTTCCCCATTTTTCTAAATTTGAAGTTTTCTCATCACGCTCCTTGTGTTGCCCTTTCTTGTTTCGATTTCGCCCGCGCCACCTTCGAATCTCAACCATCTGACCTTGTTCTAGCTTGGCATGTTCCCCCCCCAAAAAGGCATGGCAACTGTGATCTCTTATCCGTGCCAGTTTGGGCGTAACCAAGTCTACACTGTTTATGACACTGTTCGTTTTTACACCATCTTCGTACCCGCAAATCTCGCCAGTCGCGATTTCATTTTGGCTGTAACAGAATGATGACGCCCGGCAGTATGCCATCCACCATCTCTGAAGAAGCACCATTGCTGTTATGGTGTTTCCTCACTTGTTTTTGGGCGCATCACGGAATGTACGGTTAAACCGGGATAAGTGAAAATCAGCACCTAGGGGCATGCAACATCACCCCTTTTTATTGGCAGTCACGCCACATCTATTTTAGATGTGGCGTCCGCGCTGTTGGAGGGATGATAAGCATGCAGAGGCACTATGGAGTAACGCGACCAAGCAGCGTCAAGACTGAGTGCTTGTGGGCGCTATGTCGCGTGTTCAGAGGATGTACTGTGCGCCCGAATATGGAACGAACGTGGCGCTCCTACGGGTGTTAGAAACAATTTTTAGCGCTCCTACGGGTGTTAGAAACAATTTTATTCCAAACTGCTGGGTAGCACACCGTCAGAAATTATCACAGAATAGTCAGAATAGACGCAATCGATGTCGGTCGTGGCCACCCGTGCATGTGCGGACGGTTGGCAGTCACATAACTAGTGAACGTTATCTGAAGTAGATGAAGTCATTCCTAAGCTGGCACGATCATAATGCGGTAGAACAACAGAGCTAGAAGGTTCTTCCCAGGAAATCCTGTCTCGTACGTGATTAGAGAACGTGCGAAAAATAACCAATCAGAACAGCGAATCTAAAGAAGAAGCAGTGTTTCAGTGATCCGGTCAGCCTACTGAAGTGGCACGGGTTGAAAAATTGTTTAGAATCCGTGTCCTTGGACCGTTTAATTTTCGGCCATCTTCATGAAAGTCGTAAGCGGAAATGAAGAGACACGTAATACAGATAAACGGTAGCTTGAAACTCAGAGTCACAGTTTACAGTGCAAAATTGTAGTCCCCGGGTCAGCTCCAGAACCCAGACGTAAACAAATTAACTTTCTTGGCCAAAATGGCCATTCTTTGCCGCGCAACAAAATTTTAGACCGACGGAGGAAGCCGAAAGTCCTGCCTTTTAAGCATAGTTTTGCGCAACCACTTCTTAGTTGGTTACAGCTGATACATGGCTCACAATTTGGCTGAAGTATTCTGCCAGCTGCAGCTTAGGGGCTAAGTAACGGTTCGTTATCTTTTGACAGCCTATCAAGCCTCGCCCTGGTACCGAAACACTCGAGACGGGTAAACTTGCTTTCCCAAGGACGCTCCCAGACTTGATGACTATAGCCATCTCTACTCTGAGAGCTCACAAGTCGAACAGGTGTTTTACCTTATGGTCGCGGCCTATCAATCTCTCAACTCTATGGTGTTTCGCTTGGTTGCTACTCAGTTTTTTCCACTGCATTCACTGATGCCAGACCCCACGTTTGCGCGCATATACATTTCGAAAGACGGGGCTCTTCATATTCCAGGCGGTCTGCCACCTTAATCGGGGTTTCATCAGCACACGTCTAGTGCAGCACGTCCAGCCGTGCGGCCATGGTTCACAAATGACGTGCTAATCTGCAGCCACTTCACATTCACCCACTATCTCGCAAAAAAGATGATGACCACCGTTGCGTCAACTGCTCTTACATCTTTTGGTGGCTTGGTGAGACGACTTTCGGTGCGCAAAAGCTGAGCTCAGCTGTAAAACTACTTTATTGTCTAACTTCCATGCCACCTGACGGAAGCATGGGGACTGGGATATTGTCAAGCTTCCTAATGCTTGACAGGAGTGGTCGAGATGGTGATGTCGGGTTTGAAACAAGGACCATTCGATCAGTAAATTCGTGCCCTAACCACTGAGCCGTCGTTTGAATGTGGCCCGAACAGCCCGGTTTCTGTGGCTCTGGTTTCAATGCTTGAAACTAAAATGGAGCCAGCAATTTTCATCACACTGATTCTGCATTGTATTAGCGTGTCAACAGAAAATGGATGTGTTAAATCCGCTAATTTGTGTCCCAACTAGAAAAAGTTAGGCCTATCGCTGCATAATCGTCATTAGCGACTTCCACTAAACAAAGTCGATGGATTGCCCGGTCCGTCCCACGAACTTTCACAGAGGCAGGCTGTAATGGATGGAAAAACAGTGACGGCCTCGTATAGGGCGCGGTTTATACTATCAGCCGCGTCTATAAATTGGTCACAGTATCTCCGGCCTCAAACCGAACGGAAATGGTCCTAAGTAGCCAAAGCTCTTGCAGTAGGTCATCTTCAACTTCTGTTAGCTATTCATTCGATTTGTGGACATATTACAAGATAATCTAGGGAAGCGCTCCAAGTTAACGAAAAGGAAAACGCAGCGACCACCTTGCTTCTCGTACACCAAGTTTTCAGAGATACGAAGTACTGTTGACTCGTAAATTTTGACGACCGCAGCTTTGTTTCATTACCCAGCGAGTTTCGCAAATAAGCTTCCCCATTGCTGTGTTGCCACAAATCAGGTTGTATCAATGGCGATCTCCGTCGCTCCGCGGTAGTAACCTGCTTGGCCTTCCTAACCTAGTATGAATATGCAAGCATATGCCCATGAATTCTGTAGTGGTCCGGCTACCCAATAAGTTACCATACCAGGAGTGTGTGGAAATGAATGGAAATAATAATGCTGCATTGGGTATACAGTAATAAAGAGGTCATATGGAGCAGACTCACCAATGATTGTTCTCTTCAAAATAGTTCGTCGTTGGCCCAGACCAGAGAATAAAAAATAATCCAATCATGGTTGTCCAGGTCCCTTCTTCCGAACAGTTTCCACATATAATAGATTCCGAAGATAGCCTGAGTTGTTTTGAAACATGGGACTCGCGAATGACCGTTGCAAGCGCGAGAGAAACCAGAAGAGAGAAGGTACAAAATACCACAGCCCTCAAAAATTCTCATAATTTTGTCTACCTTATAGGAGTGTGTTAATCGCACCATCCTTTAAGCCCATGTATTATTGCGTACAACGTTATTTTTGGGTGTACTAGTGCAGCCGAAGCACAGGAACAGAAAGGACCCGAAGAACCTTGGGCAAACTCATCGTTCCCGTACTTCAGTCTGTGGCCTCGAAGTTGTTTTAATACACTATTTTAGGCACACTCCTCATTTTCGGCAAGGACTGCGTAATGTTTTCGCGCGCTGCTCTCTCTGTTCGGCATTTTACGGGATTGAGGTGTTTTTCGACATCGGCACAAGTATGCCCCTTGATTCTCAGACTTTTCATTACCTTCGCATCGTAGAACTTAAGGAAGGTTGCTCTGCTTGGAGCTAGTGGCGGTATTGGTCAGCCAACCGCGCTACTTCTTAAGCAATCCCCTCTTGTTTCTCATCTTGCGTTGTATGATATCGCTCATGTGAAGGGCGTAGCTGCTGACCTAAGCCATATCGAAACCAGAGCTCGCGTCACTGCGCATGATGGTCCAGCACAGCTGGCCGAATGTCTCACTGGTGCTGAAGTCGTGTTGATCCCAGCCGGAGTTCCGCGCAAACCGGGTACGTTTTCAGCCCTTCCAAGTTCGGTTTTCTGTTCTTTTTGCCAATATGTTTCAGCTAAGAACCAGTCGTTCTTTCTCTCACCCATAAATTTGAGGACCAATCTGGAGTAAATTTGGGCTCGGGCGCCCCGCAACGCGAAGGAATGCCTGCTCGGGTCCGAGCCAAGTCTTACCCAGATAGCACCTTTCACCTCTATACTTGCTTTTCTACTTATTCTTTGGAGTTTCTGCCCTATCACTTTTCAAATCACCTTTAGTCCATTGTTTCACTGGGTCTTTCCCCGGTTTCGCTGAGCTCGAGATTGTGTTGCCCGAGGGTTATTTAGGTGGCAAGCATGTTGCCGTGTTTGTCGACTGTATGTGTCGGTTAAGCCACGTTTTGTACGTTGCCATGTACAGATGAAGGATCACTAGGTAAGTGGTTAGGGGCGATGAAAAACTTGGAAGACAGTACTGTTTTTTTAACGGTTTTTCCTTCGTTACTGTGCACATTAGTCACTTGAAGGTGCGGTAAATTGACGGCAGGGGTGGTTAGTGTCTGGCATGGTTTGGAAGGTAATGATGAGCTCAGTCTCTTTCAGGACAACGAGCTTAACTCGAGGCCAGCTAGTCGCTTCTTGGGGAAGGTTGTATAAACCGCGTGTTTAGTGGCTCATAGCTGACGTGCTAACACTCTCGTCACGCTTCAGTCAGCATTTCCAGTCTCAAGTGGGATATTCGACGCGCAGTCCGATACATGTGCGAATGACGTGCCAAGTCCTACTTAAGAGCCCGAGGTGCTTGTTTGCGTGCAAGTGGCTGGGTTACACTGACGTATTCCCCATATCTCACCTCAGTGATGGTATGAAGGTAATGTGAGCCTGGTGTGTACGAGCGGGAGTTAGCATGGTGTGTAGGCGACGCGGCACTTGCCTGTTGAACTATAGCTGTTTCAACGCCATCTACAACATGGCATCGTTGTTCAACACTGATACTTTGCTGTCGTACAACCATGATTTGTTTGAAGGCCTTATTTTGAAGAAATTAATAAAGGTTGACTGGGAGGGGACTCATTGCTAGCTTACTACAATCATTCCGAGGTGCCTACACTTTGGGACACATTCAGGCTATCTGGATGGAAACTGAGATCGATTAGCAGCTACATCTTGCAGCGTCTCCAACCAGGTGCAGTGGGGATCATGCAGTCCCTATCTAGGAAGAAGAGTTGCACCGACAGCACTCAAACGTTTCGTAATCTTTCATACCCCTATGCCAGCTCAAGGGCTGGCCAACTCTGCTTCTGCTGCCCTGAATCGGACACGAATAACAGCACACTCATCGGCAAATGGTGGTTCTATATACGCAATACGTGGTCTAACCAACACAACCTCTGCTGCCGCAAATATCCTTTGACGCCATTCTCAAATTAGTAAGCGTTATCCGAGCCTTGCAGATTCGTGCATTGACTTCATGTGTCACACTACAATCATAACTATTAGCGGATCAGTGAGATAATGTCATTTTCCCATCGCTCAATAACAAATGGAGTGCCCAGTAGATTCCGGTGGTTAATTGAAGCCGCTTATGAGTTTAAGGGATCCTTGGACTATTGTTGTCGATGCCATTGGCGGCGTTTCATCTTAGAGCTTTTGACTTGCCGTGCAACTCGAACAGATCACGAGGGCCGAGGTGCTATTGGGTTGCCCGAGCCTGTATAGGACCGACAGGACAGCCAGGACCTATCGTCCAGCAGTTTTATGCCTAATCGCTGGTCTCTCGGATACGTATGTCTGTTGTCGTCAAAAGCTCGGACAAACTGCAATGTGTCCTTTATGTGAAGGCCGGGGCATTCGACCTGTTCGTAGATAAGGTCCTTGGGATAGTGAATAACTCCCTAATTTTTTTCTGTCAACTGCCGTGTGAGCGACATTTCAGTGCATGGTTTTCTGAGTTCGGGGTGTCTGAAGTTTGTCAGGTTCTGATCAAGGCTACTGAATACTGTGGCCTTTGGGTTTGTTGATTAATTAGTTCGACATATTTGCTGGGTAACTCTAGAGCGCTTTTTGGGTCCTGACAGGTGGGTGGATTTGAGAGTTTCAGAAGGGCTTCGTAAACTATCAGTAGTTTTTAATTGTCTTTTCTAATGTTTCGCTTTTGACAAAAGGGCTTCATCAGACCAAGTGGGCAACTTACCAAATTAGCCAGGTTTTAAGGAGAACCAATCATCAAGACCTCTTCCAGTTAACACGCCAGACTGGTGTCGAATGCCAATTTAATGGTCTTGCCGGGTAGTGTGATTGCCTAAGCTGCAAGGTTGGCGGGTTGGGTGAACTTCAAATCCCTGTTTCTTGATCTTCCGGTTCAAGGCGCCTCGAGTGATGATGCACCCTGGGTGGTACTGCTCAATTTTGTTGGACCGTTTGGTCTTGCAAGTCTTACGACAATTTTGTTCGGGGTGAGTGGATGAGATTGGGTGGAACTTTTGCTTATTTTGGTTCATGAGCTTCAGATTTGAGCGAGTTCTGTTGATGGTCCCTCTTTCTGATAACGCACACCACCACGTGTCAGATCGACTGATATAAGACCGTTCACCGCGCGCTTGCTAGTTCTATGCCTACTATTCTATTTACACTGGGGTGCTCGGTGACTTCCACCACCTCGGCCATCAGTCTCTTTGACGGGAACCATAGTCTTCGCCCCAAGACTTTAACATTTTCTAAATCTATTCTGTGTCCTGTGTCCGTTGTTCAGTCTCCCACCAACACCCGATATTTATCTGCGTTTCCAGACGGTATGTTTATTTTCTCCTTTGCGCCGATTCTGGCGTGGATTCCAGTGGCCATTTGTTCTATATAGAACTTAGCGCAGTCGTTGCGTTTAATTTCGTGAATACAGTCCTTGGGTCTTTTCGCTGGAAGACGGCCCTTTAATTTCAACACCGCATAGCGTTGATTGTTTTCCTTCTAGAACACTCCTCTTATGTTGGGCGCGTTTAGAATCCTTCGAATGACTTCGGAGGTCCCTGGTTTAAATGGAATAGCTGCATTCCAGTTAAAAATTACCGATTTTTTTACCAATCCCTTTTGAAACGATGACGTCTCAATCCCTTCCAATGGGTAGGAGTTCTTTTGGGTGGGCAGCAGTTGTGTACTCCGGATGCCTTTGTATATAAGCTCACCCGTAACAATCGTCTCAATCCCTTCCAATGGGTAGGAGTTCTTTTGGGTGGGCAGCAGTTGTGCACTCCGGATGCCTTTGTATATAAGCTCACACCGTAACAATTTTACAGACCGACGTTTGCCGTGTGTCCGGAACACGCGTGCTACGGTAATGCATCTAATCACGTTCCATAGCCCTCAGTCTATTCACGGTTTATTCTCCGGGTTTCATGTGTACCAGCAGCTGATGTTCGTAGCCTTAATGGTGTAGGCCTTGTGTTGAGTGTGAAAGCTGAAGACGGTCTGTTTGACAGAAGTCGTATGAATATTTGACCTTAAACCCGAAATCTGTTCGTTGTCTCTACATACACCACAACAAACGCTAGCAACGACACTTTTTTGCAGAACCTTCGGGACCCCTGCGGATGGCCAAGTGCATGTGTATCACTACTCTGGCAGGTGATTTTAATGCCAAGTTGGGAAAAGGCGGCAGTCTGAACTAGTATGTTCTCAACGACGATCGGGAGATGGGTTTTTGGGAAGCAAAGGGTACTCCTCTGAAAAGTTTCATCCAGTGTTGAAAGCTATAAAATGGTTGAGCCATGTTTTACGCACGCCGAGTTACCGCCTGTCGAGGCAAGTGCTGTTCCCATCCTTCGAAGGTTGACCGAACACAGATCCGTGAAAAGCAAGCTGAGTTCTGTGTTTATAGAGGGTGCTTCGATCGTATATTCACTCTTCGCCAGATTTTGGAGCAGCAACACGCCTTCTAGCAACGATTACTGCTGGTTGTTTTTCACTTGAAAGCTAGGGCAGTATCTATGGAGCAAGGGCTTCCCTCGTACCTGTTTTCTTTCTCTTCCGCGCATTTCCCCCTCTCTTCGCCCCATTAGTAACCCTCTCCTTGTAAATCCATCCATTAGTACTGACAACCCCGTCCGTCTTGCATCGGGTTGGGCTACAACCTCTACGCGTCAGTTGGATTTAACGGCCCCAGGCATCTCGGGGGTCCATTTTCAGCCCTCGACGCCCAGTTTATCTGTCTGCTTTTACGGTTCACACTTTGAAGCAAGCAGGACAACAAGCTTTCCTTGCTCTCGCGCTAGACTCGCTTGACATTAGTGGGCTGCATATCAGAACCAGGAATTCAAGATGTAACCACAGTGGTTGAGCTGTCCGCCCCCAAAACTCTCCACTCGCTTGCGACTGCGCACCTCCGGCTACCCAGTAGCTGTGGCAGGGGGATCCTTGCTTGACTGGATACTTGCTGATAGTCGCCCCCTATGCTGTTCGTCTAGCAACATCCGGAAGGGGATCTCACAAGCAAGAGGTTGATCGCTGTCATTTTATCATGTCCACTCATGTCTCTGCCCAATGTAGCTCTGACACCAAAGACAAGTTTTATGACACCTTGGATGCACTGTGATGGTTGGGGGCGAGATGGCCCAAGTGGTTAGAGCGCGAATTTACTGACCGGAAGGTCCGTGGTTCGAATCCGACCTCCGCCACTCGACTTCCCCCGTCTAGGCTTGGGCAACCGGGTAGTATCCCAGCCCCCGTGCTTCCTTCGGGTGGCATGGCAGCTAGGCACCGGAAGGGTGCTACAGCTGAACGCTTTCTTTCTTATTGTGATGGTTAGCTGAAAGATCAGCTATGGTTGTTGTTGAAGGTTTTAACGTCCAAATGGGCGGGCTTAGCGCGTCTGAGACCTGGGTTGTACTCGGTACGTCTGGACAATTGCGAACTAGTGCTTCAGCTATATGCCGACAGCAGCACTAACTTCAAAAATAGCTGAAGTCGCCTGGTCACATGGTGTCTTCCTACAGCGTAACAGCTACGAACCCAGGTTGATCACATGACA